TGCGGATAATTTCGTTACACTCTGTGTCATTCTATAGACTAATTCACTAATACGTCAGCCATAATAATTCTGTGAGTTTTGTCATCCTGAGACTCTAACTAAACTAAATGAATGCTTAGAGCAAAAGAAAATGACAAAATCGTGACCAGCGACTTCAAATACAGCAAATGAGACTGATCATGTGCAAAAGTCAACCAAAGGCCATTCGAGGTCACATGAGGTCAACATAAGACTTGACCGTTTCAAACAACCTAACTATATGTCATTCGACGCATCTTGATATGACTAATGCGTTGGCACCACCTTCTTTGCTGAAGAACTCCGCAAAAAAGCCGCAGCTCGGGGTCGCTGACCTGCCATCTACCCTAATGTAGGCATCAAAAATGTGTTTGTATTTTTTCCGAAGCCCCTAGGCATTCGGGGGCTATCGCAACTATTCGTCCGGGGTGGGGGGAGGAGGACGAAAAATGCCCTCCACGGGCCCGCGTGGGTTTACACCTCTGACGAGTGTTACGGCTGACAGAATGTGTCCGTACAAGTTGGGGAGCCGTGGCGACGCCCCTGCAACAAAGAGTAACGCAGGTCAATCAGCCCAGCGGTTGCTTACTTACAAGCCTATTAAAAACGTTACAGGAATACGCTTCGCTAGCTCAATCGTAATAGAGTAGAGTCATTACATATATGCAATTGCTACTATTTCCTGGTTTTCTTTATAGGCCAAGGCTTTGTAACTGATAACTCTGCTGCCCTGTAATGGGTCCGGCCCGCTGTGGCGAGTGAAGACACTCGCCCTGACTGACTGGACCGCCAGCCGAGACGCTGCTGACTCTGGTGGTGAATGGTGAGCGGAAGAGGAGAAAGTTTACGCCAAAGCTGAAGCAACTCTACATTGCTGTACAGCTAATACGCTTTTCACCTGGTGGTCAGTAGAGGAACTAACAGTTACTACAACTGACCGTCAGAAGCACCCAACACACACCGTGCCGCTCCCAGTAACATACCAGGATGTAGACCCCAGTCGGGCAGCGCTCCGGCGTCCGGCGGCCGCAGCTGGTCCAGCAGTGACAGCAGCCGGCCGGCGCTGCCCTCCGGCGCCGTCAGACAGGCGTTCACGGCCACCACCCTGACGGACAGACGTTACACGGTCAGCAGAGAGCCGACACTCGGTCAGCGGACAGTGGCGTTGGGTCACCGGATAGCAGAGCATCGCCGCAGCACACAGACCAGACAGGACTGTGCCGACAACGCAACCCCGTTGGAGTAACATGACCCTAATAAATGCACCGAAAATGCTCTGGTCTATCTCCATTATTTATAATGATAAAAAAATGAAAGAACAACTGAGATGAGGGAAAGGAGTGAGGCGTCTGTTAGGGTCCCCGTGCAATACGCCCGGTGCGGTGACTGACCTCTGCGCCGCTAGCTGGAGAGCTGGTTCACCCGGCTGACGACCGTCTGTACCTCCTCGGCGGAGAGCGGGTGGCCGTTGGTGGCCCGCCGCAGCCCGTCCCGGTAGCCGGCCGCCCCATCCGGCGACACGCCCTGGGGAGTCATAGCATAACACTCAGGCAGATTCAGGTTTCAGTCCGACACACAGAACCGTCCGGCGACACGCCCTGGGGGCGACACATGGGCGCGCTCAGGGCTCAGGTACAGGTCTCGAGAGATTAAGCGGTAGGTTTTGCACTTTTACATTTCCGGTTATATCTCAGAAAATAATCGATCTACGATGAAGCCATTTTACACGATCATGGCCGGCTTGTTACCCAACAAGTCGATCGCATCTTCAACACTTAAAAGCTTGAGACGACGAAGATATAACCTGAAGTACACTAAATTTTCTAGGTGCAAAACCTACCGCTAAAACCCGCGAGCAATGTACCATGCACAAGGGCGCCGGGTGCAGTGTCTGTGTGTCCCTGACTGACCTGCAGCGGTGACGCTGTCACAGAAAGCACCTGTTCATTGCCCAATGGATCCAGCCCAGTTCCGGCCGGCCGAGTGCCCGCACGTACGCAGCCAGTGTTACGGTCTGTGTTCCATCTATGTTACGGTCTGTGTTCAATCTATTTTACGCCCTGTGTAACGACCAGAGCCTATTTTAAGGGAATTTGACTGGGGGGGCAACCTGGAAAATTGTCTTTAATAATCCATTAACCCTCGCCCGTATTGGTGTTTCCAGTAGCGAGCGTATTGGGTGGGGGGACCGTTGGCCCCTGATCGAGCTAGAGCTTCGCGGAAAAAAACGACCGTGTTGCCCGTGATGAAAGGAAGCCGATTATACCCAATTTTAAGGTCCTAGGTCATCGGTTGACCTTCCAGGTCAGGTCATTGACCCAAAAGTCGGGAAAATCGGGACCTGTTAGAGCGTCGTAAAGAGTGGCCGCTATGGTTTTTCGGGGTGCTGATCACGAATATCATGTAAGTTATGATCATAGATGATGTCTTCATGCATTTAGGCCAGGTCAGGTCAGGTCAGGTCAACCAGTAAGGGTTTTGCCGGGTATTCGTAGTAGGTGGCAACCGCCTCTGACAGCTTCGTAACATGTTACGAAGGCACCAAAACTACTTCGTAAATGGTCAAATGGTTGCTTAATTCGAATTCAGCTCCAAAAACTAGCCTAGAAACATATAAAACTCGAAAATGTGAACCGAGGTCATCAAAGGTAAATGATCTGACCTGACCTTCCGGTGATCTTGACACCCACCCTAATGCATGGGAGCAACATCATATCCCATTGTGACGGACCAGATACGTTTATATATCGATAAATATCTTCCAGTGGAAGAGCTGATGATGAATCAAATATTTCGCCACATTGGAAGAACCTTTAAACGTGTATTTGTCTCGCGGATTTTATTTTTAGTTGTTTGGTGCGACCGCTGAACTTTGCAAAACAGACGATCGATTTTCATTCTTTATTATTATCAGTATAAATTTGCATACATTTGGTTTAAAACGAATAAACAGATGTGTTGCGCAATTTTGCTGGTATGATGAATAGAAGAAGATCGCCTCGGTGGACAAACGAGTCCGCTACATCATGAAAATCGATCATGAATTGCCAACTAACTCATGACCTCAAGATGGATGCCAACGATGCCAACAAGACTAATGACGAAACTTCGAGCTGCAAGTCTCACCGATCGAGCTATACGACGGTATCACGAGCGTCTGCGAGATCGGTCAGAGCTGCTAGTACACGACTGCGGCAGTTAGAAGAGCAGCAACGGCTTGAAGCAGCAGCCGAGGAATCTAGAAGACAGCTGGCGGAAACGAAACGACAGCTGGAACTAGCCAGAGCAAGACACGCGCTGGAACTTGCCGAGATCGACGAACAAGATCAGGTAGAAATGGAGGAATGTGCACGATCCCTCCGTCATTCTTCTCAAGACGTGACACGGTGTGACCTGACGAATGCCATTGAATCCCAGCCAGAGAACGACAGTCGCCGGATATCAACTCGGCTGGAACCTGAGCAGGTCTCGCACTGGCCTGAGCCAGTCTCGCACCGGCCAGAGCCACCCTCGCACCAACCTGGACCAGACTCACACGTACTTGAACCAGTCTCACACCGTCCTGATTCAATCTTCATCGTGAGAGAAAACCCCAAACTGGACATTCTGCCCTTCGATGGAAAGTACAGCCGCTATCCATTTTTCAAGCTTCAAGTCGATGAAGCCATGAGATCCGGCCAGTTCACCGACCTGCAGATAATTCGTCATCTGCGGGACAGACTCAAGGGGCCGGCCTTTGAAGCGGTACATGGAGCTCTCATGTCTGGGTGTCCTCTGCTGAGGATTATGCACGCGCTCGAGTCTCGCTTCGGGAACCGCCTGCAAGTGACGAACGCCGTAACGACTCAGCTCCTGAACTTCGACACGATACGATCGAGCGACACAGAACTGCTCTCTCAGTTCGGCACGGCAGTGTATAACGCTATATCAACTCTTCAAGCAGTCGGCTTTGAGAGCGAGTTGGACAACTTGCGCACGCTGCAGTTGTTGACGGGAAAGCTGCCACTGGAGAGCCAGCAAGCTTGGGGCGCCTACGCTCGGCGCCGATGTGAAGACGGGAGGAAGCTGTCGTGCGGTCTTTTCCACGAGTTTCTGGAAGAGCACATAAAGGATCGACAGTATGGCGTCATCGGCAGCAGCCTGCAATGCCATCCGTCACATGATGTCAAGAACCGCTCCGGCAGTCGCGGACGCACGAGCAGACGCGACCGTCACGAGCACCAACGAGAACGCCATGGCTACTGTGGTAGATTGTCACACAGGCCACAGCCTCTTGGCTGGCGTGCCTGGGTGCGCCACTGGCCGCCCTATCCGTCGTCCCTGAGAGCGGGCTTGCGCTCGCTTGACCTATAGCCGGGGGCGCTCAGCTGTGCGGTGTGGGTTGAGTCTGGTCAGCTGATCGAGTGGGAATACAGTTCTGACCGGTGATCGGAGGAGTGTGGTGCTGTGGTGCCGAGCTTAGTTCACGCTATAACATTGGCGACGAGGTATTTGAACAGAAGAAATTGAAATGCCGGTGGGCAGAGTAGAGCCATTTAATGTGGAGAAACTAACGACCCATTATCACCCCAAGCCGTCGGTAACGGTCGCACGGTTTCGATTTTTTTCATGCTACCGTCTACCAGGAGAATCGATACAAACGTATATCGCTCGTCTCAGACAGTTCGCTGGTGATTGTCAGTTCGGTACATTTCTAGAAGAGATGATTCGCGACCGACTCGTATGTGGTGTGAAGTCTGACCTGATCCAGTCCAGGCTGTTGTCAGAACCCGAGTTGTCTCTGAAGAAAGCGACAGAGATGGCGGTAGCCATGGAGACAGCCAGTCGGAATCTGCAGGAGCTGTCGGGAGCGGAGGCGGCCGATCCGCCGCGACAAGAGGTGCAGCAGATTCGGTCACAGCAGCGGAGCCGGCCGACCGCGGCGGGGCCAGCGACACAGCAGCGAGCTCCAAGGGGCCCAGCTCAGCAGACTGGCATGACACATCACACAAGTAAGGCCTTGGAGGGCGGGAAAGATAAGTGCTGGAGGTGTTTGAGTAACCGGCATGCAGAAGAGGACTGTTATTTTCGCCGAAAGAAATGCTTTCAATGTTTTCGTTATGGACACACCAGTGCAGCCCACCGAGCTGGCACGGTGAACAGTGTGGGGATGTTACCCGAGTCTGAGTCACAGGAGGGTGCCGAGGGTGGACTGGAGATGGAAGTAGAGACTGGTGAGGTTGACGCTCTGGTTAGCGATCTGTTCACATGTGCAGAGGAGCGGCCGAGTCCGGTGAAGCCTCCAATCAAGGTCGACGTCAGCATCAACGGTCAGTCGGTGCAGATGGAGCTGGACACCGGCGCCGCCGTCTCCGTCTGCACGTACCGCCGCTTCAAGGAGCTCTGGCCGGACGGAGACAGGTTGCTGCAGCCGAGCAGCCGTCTGCTTCGCACGTTCTCCGGTGAGAAGCTCTCAGTCCGAGGTGAGGCGTGGGTGAACGTGCTGTATCAGGGTGTCAGTCATCGATTGCCATTGACTGTGGTGGAGAGTAACGGTCCGATGTTACTAGGCCGTAACTGGTTGGGAGAGATCAAGTTGGACTGGCACAATATTTTTGCGATGACTCTGAGTCCAGCCATGGGAACACTGCTCGAAAAATACTCCGAGCTATTCAAGGACGATCTGGGCTGTGCGAGGGATGTAGAGCTCAACATTCCAGTGGATCCAGCCGTGAAGCCCATCTTCTACAAGCCTCGGACGGTGCCACTCGCCTACCGGGAGAAGGTGGACGCCGAGTTGGAGCGGCAGATCAAGGAAGGTTTGTTGGTGCCGGTCAAGTGGAACGACTGGGCGACGCCCATCGTGACCTGCCAGAAGGCCTCAGGTGAGATCAGAATCGCAGCAGACTATCGTCTCACAGTAAACAAGGTCACGCCGTTAGAAAAGTATCCTCTGCCAAAAGTAGACGAGATGTTCAGTAAACTGCAAGGTGCGACAGTGTACAGTCAGATAGATTTGAAAAATGCGTACAACCATCTGCCATTAGAGGAGAAGAGTCGCAAATATTTGGCCATAAACACACACAAGGGCTTGTTGGTGCCAACCAGACTGGGATACGGGTACGCGAGTGCTCCGGCCATCTTTCAACGTTATATGGAAACTCTCTTGGCTGGAATACCAGGGGTGGGAGTGTTCCTGGATGATGTCATGATCGCTGGAAAAACCCCACAGGACCACCAGAACTCGCTGGAGATGGTGCTACAGCGGCTGGTGGCGGCCAACCTGCGCCTGCAAAAGAAGAAGTGCAAGTTTGGAGTGTCATCTATCACCTACCTGGGACACCGCATCAGCGCGGACGGCGTGAGTCCGACCGACGACAAGGTCAGTGCTATCAAAAACGCACCCGCTCCAAAAAACTTGAAGGAGCTTCAGGCCTGGCTAGGGTTGATCAATTATTATGCCAAGTTTGTGAGAAATCTGTCCACCGTGCTGGCACCACTGTACCGCCTGCTCAAAAAGGGAGAACCCTGGCAGTGGGGACCCGATCAGAAGAGCGCGTGGCTGGCGGGGAAGAGCCTGCTGCAGTCTACGCAGGTGCTGGCTCATTTTGACGAGACGGCACCGATCGTGCTGTCTTGTGATGCCTCTCCCTACGGGGTTGGGTGTGTCTTGAGCGTGGTTGACAAGCGCCTGGGAGAGAGGCCGGTAGCCTTCTACTCGAAATCGCTCACAGACACGCAGAAACGATATTCACAGACGGACCGGGAAGGATTGGCGGTGATTCTGGGGGTCCGCCGCTTTCATCATTGGTTGGCAGGTCGGAAATTTGTTATCCGGACCGATCATAAGCCCCTCCTGGGCATGCTGGGGGAGAACAAGCCGCTGTCCATGATGGCTTCACCGCGAGTGACTCGATGGGCAATGCTGTTGTCGGGCTATCAGTACAAGCTAGAGTATGTACCAGGATCGAGACAGGGACACTGTGATGGTCTCAGCCGTTTGCCTCTTCCGACAGCTGCTGGAGACTTGCCAGAGCCCGGCGAGACTCTGCACCTGGTGGAGATGATGGACGCTTCGCCAGTGACCGCCGCTGTGGTTCGACTGGCGACTGAACGTGACGCCACCCTCAGCAGAGTGCTGCAGTACACCCGAGACGGCTGGCCTGAGGACAGGAGCGGCGAGTCACCGGAGTTAAGTGCATATCGCACGAAGCAAGGTGAGCTCAGCATCCAGAACGGATGTCTCTTGTGGGGAGCTCGAGTCGTCATTCCAGTCAAGTTGCGGGAGAGGGTGCTACAGATGTTGCATGACGGTCATATGGGAGAGAGCCATACCAAGGGGTTTGCCAGAATGTACGTGTGGTGGCCAAACCTAGATTTTGACATAACCCAGATGGTTAAGGCGTGTGTGACCTGTCAACAATACCGCCACCAAGCGCCCGTCACGCCACTGAGTCCGTGGTCCCTCCCGTCCCGGCCATATGAGCGGGTGCACATTGACTACTGTGGCCCAGTGGAGGGGAAAATGCTGCTCATTGTAGTGGATGCATATACCAAGTGGATTGACGTACATGTAACAACTAGGGCAACAACCGAGGTTACTATGGAGGAGCTGCGGAAAACGTTTGCATACTGGGGAATTCCCAAGTTCTTGGTATCAGACAATGCTCAGTGTTTCGTGGCACCCGCGTTCCAGTCATTCTGTACTCAGAATGGTATCACACACCTGCGCACTGCGCCGTTGTCTCCAAAAAGCAACGGTCTGGCTGAGCGGGCAGTGCAGACGGTGAAGCAGGGTCTGAGGAAACAGGGGAATGGAACGCTGCACACCAAGCTGGCAAGGGTGCTGTTCACCTACCGTTCATCTCCCCACAGCACTACCGGAGTGACGCCAGCAGAGCTAATGACCGGGCGGCGCATGAGAACTCGTCTCGACTGTATGCTTCCCAGTCTGCAGGATCGTGTTGTCAGCTCGCAGTGGAAGATGAAGGAGCGGTATGATAGACAGGCACAGCGGCGCACCATACTACCAGGAATGTCTGTCCTCGTTTCACAGGTGTCGGGACTGGCCGGCGTCGGCAGGACAACACGCTGGCTACCCGGACACTGCATCAACATCTCGGGACTCAAGCTCACGGTCCGGCTGGACGACGGACGAGTCCTCCAGCGCCATCTGGACCAGGTGGTCCCGAGAGCGGTCGCCGGGAACCAGGCCGTCCGACAGCCGACGGACTGGACGGCGGCGCCGCGGCCTCCTCAAACGCCGCCGACGTCGCTGCCGACAACTCCAACGTCGCAGGCGACGCCTTCACCGCCGACGCCCTCACCGCCGACGCCTTCACCGCCGACTCCCACGCCGCTTCCGCCACCGCCAGCGGAATGTCCGGAACGGGAGAGGCCTTCGTCTCCCTCCCCAGTGGGGCGGCCGGCTCGTGGGTTGGAGGGACGGGGTGAGCTCAACTCGCGATTGAAGTGTGACGTCCAATTGTCGCGAGGCGAGAGTGTTGAGTGTCGCGAGCCTGTGTCAGCGCCGCAGGTACCGCGCTATAACCTTAGACCGAGAAAATAGTTGTTAACTAGGGGGGAGGAATGTGGTAGATTGTCACACAGGCCACAGCCTCTTGGCTGGCGTGCCTGGGTGCGCCACTGGCCGCCCTATCCGTCGTCCCTGAGAGCGGGCTTGCGCTTGCTTGACCTATAGGTTCAACACACCTGCTGGATAAGGTGGCTACTGTTCCCGAGCTGCAAATAGACAAGAATCCCGTGACGGCAAAACAGCTGAAGCGCATGTTTCCCGAGATCGAAGAAATTGGGATCAAACAGCTGGATGAGCCGCCTCAGATGCTGATTGGCCTTGACCACGCGGAGCTCATCGCCACTCAGAAGATCATCAAGACGTCGAAGAATGGTCCTCTGCTCCAGGAAACGAAACTGGGATGGACCATAACTGGGCGCGTCATCGATACGGAAGACACCGAGACAGAGTGCGTAAACTTTCTGAACAAATCTCTGAACATGTATCGGGACGACAGCGCTGGCAGCGCCGCCTACTCAACCGACAGCGACTGCAGCGACATCTGCACGGCTGGGAGTGCTGGCGATCTGAGCGACATCTGGAGAACAGAGCACTTTGGCTGCAAGTATGCCTTCAGTAAGCCGCACAGCCCAGATGACAGGAAAGCGGAAACGATGCTACAAGAAGGGGCAAAATACGACGGAACAAGATGGACAGCCCCGCTTCTGCTAAAAAACGAAGATGAGAAGATGCCTGAAAGTCGAACGATGGCAGAACAGAGAGCCATTGCCTTGGAAAAACGACTGGATCGCTCTCAGTAAAAGAAAAACGGCAAAACACCAAGTCTCGCCGAGCTGGTGTACGAAAAATGGAGAGAATGGTATCAGACGGCCATTTTCGAAAACTGAGTGAAAATGAAGCCCAAGAAGGACACAAGAATGTCTGGTATCTCCCACTGCTCGCGGTGCAAAATCAGAAGAAGCCGAACAAGGTGCGCCTAGTGCTAGACGCTGCCGCGAAGAGCAATGGCAAGAGCTTGAATGACTTTCTTCTCCAAGGGCCAGACCACATGAACTCTATACCGGGGATTCTGTGCCGCTGGCGGGAGAAAAGAGTAGCAGTGACCTCTGACGTCATAGCTATGTTCAGTCAGATCAAAGTGCGAGAAGAAGACCGACCACTTCTGAGATTTCTGTGGCGGGGCTCACGTCGCACGGGCCGATTTGATGTGTACGAGTCTCCGGTGGTTATTTTCGGTGCCACCTGCTCACCAAGTATCGCTGAGCACTGCTTCCGGCGCACGGCGGACGAATTCACCGAAGACGAGGCAGTGAAGACAGCCGTACGAGAGGACACCTACGTGGACGATATTGTCACCGGTACAGACACCGAACACGAGGCAGTGAAACTGATTGGCAGCGTCACAGAAACACTCAAGAAAGGAGGCTTCAAGCTGGGCCCGTGGGCCTCAAACTCTGAAGAAGTCCTCCACACCGTCCAACAGGAGCAAGAACAGCAAGACAGTCGGCTGCAAAGAACGTTAGGAGTCGGCTGGGAAGCTCGCCTCGACACTCTAACCTATGAGCCAATCGCTCCGCCGGAACAGCTAACGAAGAGAACACTTCTATCGACAATGATGTCGGTGTACGATCCGATTGGATTCTTGACAGGATTCCTCCTGAGAGCGAAGGAGCTGTTGCAAGTCCTGTGGAAGTCAAGCGTCAAATGGGACCAAGAACTACCGAGTGAAGTCCAGCAGAAGGTGAAGATGTGGATGGATGAGCTGACGCAGACGAGAGATCTACACATCCCACGTCACATCTTTCGTCAGGAGGCCGGCATCTCTTCTGTCGATCTGCACGCGTTCTGCGACGCAAGCGAGATGGGGTTCTGTGCAGTGCTATACTATCGATGGATCGACTCGACTGGCTGCATTCAAGTGAGCTTTATCTCTGCTCATTCTCGCGTTGCTCCCGTGAAGAAAATGTCTATCCCAAGACTCGAGCTTCAAGCTGCCGTCCTGGCCAGCAGAATGATAGCCTTCATCAGAAAAGAAACACGGACCGGCATCAAGTCGACAACATGTTGGTCGGATTCGAAGAACGTGCTTGCTTGGCTGCGCAGCACGAACCGAAGATACAGTGTATTTGTCGCAAACCGTATTGCGGAAATACACGACGTCACGGGGCCGGCTGACTGGCGTTACGTGCCGACGGCGATGAACGCCGCAGACTCTGGCTCCAGAGGCCACAAAATCGAAGATTTGTGTCCTGACAAGGAGTGGATTCGAGGGCCAGAGTTCCTCTACAAACCGGAGACAGACTGGCCAGATGACTGCTCAGATGCAACCGGCATTCTCGAGACGGACATGGAATCCAAACCGGTGGTGCTCGCTACAACAGTGAAGATCGAGCCCAATTTTCGAGAAAGCACGCCAGATCTTTCCCGATTCTCGCGCTGGACAGTGGCGGTGCGCACTGCGGCCAGAATACGAAGATGGCTCAAACTTGTCCGAGAAAGAAAACGCGGACCACTCACGGCTGATGAACTACGTGAAGCGGAAGAAATATGGACGAGAAGGGTCCAGGGTGATTCTTACCGTGTTGAACTCATATGTCTTCAACAAGGACATCCGAACAAAAACAAGAGCCAGCTCTCAGGCATGACCGTTGGGTTGTTGGACGGCATCATTTGCCTCGACTCTCGCGTGAAGCGGTCTCCAGAGCTGTCACCGACTGCGAGAAATCCGCCGGTGCTAGCCCGTGACCACAAATACACGGAGCTACTGATCGAGCACCTGCACCAGAAATGGGACACCGAGCGCACGACGCAGTTCTGGGCCCTGTTCATGAAGTCTGCGGCCGCTGCGGCCGGCCGCAGGCTCTAAGCTCCGCCCATTTATGAAACGTCATCACTCACTCGGCCGCAGCAGCGTTCCATGAACAGCGTCTGCTGCCGAAATAGTTTCCGACAATTGTTTACAACTGAAGCACACCGGTAGATAATTTGTTTACAAAAATCGTCTCCATGACAACACGGCCTGCGCCTATTTGACTTCAGTGCGCCAAGTTCAGTGCAATTAGTTTTCTTGAGGCTCGGCGGTCGCTGGATTGCGGCCGCAGAGATCGCAGCGGCCGCAGCAAGATGACGTCATACATTCGTCATACTACATGAGCCCCGCCCCTTTTTGTGACGTAACAACCCGGCTGGCCGCAGCGACCGCAGCGGCCGCAGCGACCGCCGGGGTTCATGAACAGGGCCCTGGTGAGCCTCCGACAGAAGTGTTGGGTGCCGCAAGCCGCTCGCAAGATTCGCTCGCTTGTGGCAAGATGTCAGACCTGTAGGGTGCGGAAGGGGAAGCCACAGACGACAAGAATGGCTCCGCTTCCGTTGGCCCGAGTCACTATGCTCGAAGGCGCCTTTCGGGCGACTGGTATGGACTATTTCGGCCCGATGAAGGTGAAACGGGGGAAGACAGTGTCGAAGATCTGGGGCGTACTGTTTAGGTGTCTAGCCACGCGTGCCGTGCACATAGAGCTGACGGACAGCCTGGACACTGACGCGGCCCTGATGGTGATATCAAGATTCCAGGCGCGACGAGGAAACGTGCAAGAACTATGGTCAGATAATGGCAAGAATCTCACCTCGGCAAACAAGGCTCTGAACAAGCAACTCAGAGCGCTGAACCAAGACCAGATGATGGCAAAGCTGTCTCTGGAGGGAATCAAGTGGCGATTCATCCCGCCGTCCGATCCTGAGGCAGGTGGCGCTTGGGAGCGCGCCATTCGTACGGTGAAAGACACGCTAAAGATCGTCTTGAAGGAGCAGACCCCGCGGTTCGAGGTGCTACAGACGGTCATGGCAGAAGTGGAGAAAATCATCAATTCGACGCCGCTGTTCCACGTCCCAGTGGATGCAGCTGATGACGATGTGCTCACGCCGTTCCACTTCCTCATCGGCCGCGCTACCCCTGCTTACCCGGTGGGCTCGCAGGTGCAAAGCAGTGAGTGTCTTCGTCGAAGATGGAAGCACGCTCAGGTGCTAGCCGACCATTTCTGGAGAAGATGGGCACGAGAATATCTCCCTACGCTAGCAAACAGATCGAAGTGGATCCAGTCGTCTCGCAACGTGGAGGAGGGAGACGTGGTGATCGTTGCAGATCCTCAGCATCCCCGTGGACTGTGGGTCAGAGGAGTGGTCACGGACACTGTGCGTGGCCCTGATGGAGTGGTGCGATCGGCTCGCGTGCGGACGGTGCATGGAGTGCTGCACCGCCCCGTTCGCAAACTCGTAGTGCTACAAGTACTTCGCTGTACATAAGATGTGCCTATCGCGAGCCATCCGTGCCGCGAGTGAAGTAATAGAACATGCCAGCCGTCACATATTGTCTCAACATGCATTGTTGAGAGAGGCCGGGGTGTGACGGACCAGATACGTTTATATATCGATAAATATCTTCCAGTGGAAGAGCTGATGATGAATCAAATATTTCGCCACATTGGAAGAACCTTTAAACGTGTATTTGTCTCGCGGATTTTATTTTTAGTTGTTTGGTGCGACCGCTGAACTTTGCAAAACAGGCGATCGATTTTCATTCTTTATTATTATCAGTATAAATTTGCATACATTTGGTTTAAAACGAATAAACAGATGTGTTGCGCAATTTTGCTGGTATGATGAATAGAAGAAGATCGCCTCGGTGGACAAACGAGTCCGCTACACCCATGTTTGAACGTTTGAAACCACGAAGAGACTGCAAACGCGCGGCTAATGCGAGGCGACATACGCCGAATCGCGACCTCGGCCAAACATGGTGCCATGGTGCTAGGCCGCCGGTTCATCTGAAAGAACTGTGGTGCCCCTGACAAGCCTGAAGTTCCAACGACAGGCCCGTGGTGCCCCTGACAGGCCCATGATGCCTTTGCGAGGCCGGTGGTGTCCACGTGAGGCCGGTGGTGCCCCTGGGCCCTGACAGGACTGTGGTGCTCCTGACAAGCCTGGAGTGTCCCCGACAGGCACGTGGTGCC